TTGATAATTTATTTTTGTTTTATAAATTTATTTGTTTATTTATATTTTTAATATTATATTTATATTAATTTTTTTATTATATTATATAAATATATTTATTTTAAAAATATAATTAATTTAATATTATTAAAATTTAAGTTTAAAAAAATAAAAGAAAAAAAATTAATTATTTTCTATTGAAGAGACAATATTCATGCTTAATTGTATATTAATATATACTCACACACAAGTCGTAAACTTATAAACTTGCAATAAAAAAAAATAATTATATAAAAAAATATTTTAAATATTAACAATTTATTTTTATTTTATAAATTTATTTGTATTTATTTATATTTTTAATAATAATATATATATATATATATATTAATTTTTTATTATATTATATAAATAAATAGGTTAAACTATCATGTCTAACAGATTTACCTAAGTCTAATCTTTTTATATAAATATGTTTTTTTTTTAGTTTAAATTTGATTTTTTTATTAAACAGGTTAGATCAAATTAGACTTTAAAGATGTCAGATAAACTCTTATTTAAGTTACAATTTACTTTTATTCCTTAAAATAAAGATTTATTAAAGATTTTTTTTATAAAAAAATAACTCAATACATTATAGAAAAATTATTGGAAAAGGAAAATCATTATAGTTTGATACTATTAGCAGGAAGAGAAATACGTCACCAAATCATTCCTGTCAAATGGATAGCAAAATGAAAGAACTCCCAAATTCCTTTGAAGAGCTCCAAAGAAATGTGGGCGTGGGTTTTTGCCCATGCAGAAGAGTATCTCATGCATTGTCCAAGAAAAATCACATTTTATCATATCGCAATGCTTACTGGCAGTGCTCCACCAACATTATTCAATTCAATCTTGAATACCAAAGAGTAATACAAGAACTTGCAAACATGGGTAGAAACAAACTTTGAATTTGGAAATATCGAGCTAATGGCTGTAGAATTGCGTATGCAAAAAGTACTGGAAGAAGCCAAATTATGAATTTGCCTGCTTCATGAGAAATTTGAGGTTCCTGGCCTATGAAAAGTAACATGTTTTCCAATTTTTTGATATTGCTCAGCTCCATAAGCTTATTCACAAATAGTCTCCAATCCACTAGCCATTCCTGTCTATTAGCATGTGCAAATTGCCAATGCATCAAGTTATTGGGAGAACAAAATAATGATAAATGATTAAGCAAAGACAAATCATTAAACAAAGTTGGAGTATTGCATGGATTGGGATCATCATTGTGTTGGAGATTCCTACATCAACAAGTTACATGACTAAAATAAATGTTACACAGCCAAATTTTGTTAACTACTCTTTCTCATGTCTATGTGTAACTAGAGATCAATTGAGACCACATATACTTGATAATTCCAAATTGTACAATACTTTCTCTACGAAGATTTTATTATTCTATTATCTTTTATATGTCTGATTAAGTAGCAGAAGAATTGGCAATCAAATAAGAACATAATCACACATAAGCTAGATATGGAGCAAAAGAAACTAGTGATGTATGTATATTGGAGTGGTAGCTTACAAGAAGACTGAAAGCAGTGACACCAGCAAAAGAGTGGCTAAGGAAGCGCTAGAGAGATAGAGTTCACCGAGGTGACCAACAATCATGGTTGACACATAATCCTGCAAAAAATATTGGGAAGCGTTCACAGCCACCATAGGCCCTGCTATATAACAGATCCTTCTCATTTCTTCACTGAAAGCACCCCATGTGACTCTCTCACTGTTCTATCCGTTTTATTAATGGATTCTCTTCCATTATTTTCTCACCTAAAGACATGAGGCTGTGTGTGACACAGCCTTATAGCCCTTCTTGTGTCTTTGCATAATACTTTATGATATATTTGGGTACTTGGACCATATTTTTTGTCCTATAATGTTTACACTTGATAAGGCGGTTGGTGTGTTATCCATGAGAATCGACACCAAAATATGGATTTGGATTGAAAACGGAGGAACATAAATTTTAATTTCAAGTGCCTTAACATTTGGAACTCAAATCAATTAATAAAAGGTCAAGTCTCCTCTAATACAAAATCTCATCTAATAATTGGGATATCTATTTATTTTATATCTTATGTCCAGGTCACAAATTCTAACTTATTTTTTTATAATTCAACTTATTTTTATTATAAAGGAAATTATTTTCATATTTAAAAACATTCAATATTTTTTTAAATAATTAAAAATGTCTAAAATTGTATTTTTTTAACTTATACAAGGGATAGAAAAAAGGTATTAAACTTAGATTAATTATATTTTATCCTAATATTAAATAAATATTTTTATGAATAATCAGTTTTAAATATTAATATTTAAGTAAATCTACATATTTATGAATATATAATTCAATTATTTTTTTAATATTCCCACTTTTTTTAACATTAACTTTTTTCACTCCATTTTTTAACTTTTAACTTTTAATTAAAAGTAGCTTCTGAAAGTTAAAAAAAAAAATGGAAGAAAAAAAATGTTAGGCTCGGAACCTTAAAAGTTACAATAACTCAATTTTAGTTGAATGTAGAAAGGATCGGCAATTAAACAAACAGTTAGAATAGCTCAAAATGACATTTTGCATTCCAAGCAGCACATTGCTACTATATCAAATATATTGCTAATCGTTTATCTTATTATCATGACAAAAAAAACTCCTAAGATTATTCTTCAATCAGATGCACGGAGGTTTAAGCTCAAATAGCTAGCTAACCACTTCAAAATCCCAAAATCTCACTCCTCGTTCATGAAGAACAGTCCTCATTTTTAGAAAATTGGCCTTGGATTAAGAGCTGGTTTGTCATACCACTATATTGTCTGCTGAAAATTGACCATCAAATAGCCTCTTTCTTGCCTTGATCGCCTGCATTGTAAGACCATGTTATTGTAAGTTTGTAGCAATCTCAAAAAGGAATACTATTTTAACAAGGGCATTAAGTTTTATTGATCAAAATAAAAATTGAAGGCAGAAGATGAATTTGTGTACTTTATGGTGCTTTTAATTTGGTGCAACCAAATAAACTTCAAGTCTTTGGGGTTTTTTGACAAAAGGTTAGAGTGTATATACCTGCATTTTCCAATTTATGCAACCTGTTATGACAGAAAGTAGAACAGTTTGAACAAAAGCACCACCTTGGATACCAATCCAAAGTCCTTTTCCTCCAAGTCCCACCAAAAATGCCAATAAGGCTGCAATTGGAATTCCAAAGAGATAGAACGCCCCTAGATTGACATAAACCCCTAAATGTTGCCATCCACAACCTCTTGCAATCCCTGAATCAAAGAATTGTTTAACAAATTGAGAGAGTTTTTCTTCTATATAAATTTACTTAAGAATAGAGAGGAGGAATAACTACCTGTGAGAACACCTTGCATGCTGTCCAGTATAACAGATATGCAAACCAGAGGGGCCATGACAGTGACATAATCAACAACTTCCTTCTCATTGCTGAAAATGTAACCAAAAACATGGCGGCATGCAAAGAGTGTAGCACTTACTATAGCTGTCTCTATCACTGCAAGAGACATTGCTGCTAACACAGCAACACGGGCAGCATGAGAATTCCCAGCTCCTAATTCATTTGAAATCCTTGTGCTACAATCAGAGAGGAGAAAATATAATTAGTTAATATATATATATATATATATATATAAGCTCAAAAAAACCTTTCTCCCCTTTTGGACATCATAAAAAACAAACCAATATATGCATGTCCAAATTACAGATGTATGACCTTATGCACAAAATATATATATATATATATATATATATATGCTCAAGCTACCTATGTAGTGTAACATCATGTAAAATATGTAGAATATGTCTATGATGTTACCTTGCTGCAGCACCGATTCCAAAGGGTATTGTATAGAGAGTTGCAATGGTGTTGAGACTGTAGAAAAATGACAAAAAAAAAGTATTTCAATCGTGGTAATTTGTAATTAGATCATGAGTTGCAAACCAAAAAAAAGTAACATACATACCATACGGATAGAACTGAAGTTTCAAGTTGTGGATTTGGTAACAACCCCGACAGCAAGACAAGCAGCTCATATGACCACCATTCAAGACTATGTCATCAACATGAAAACAAAAAGACAATATATCAAACACTTTTGCTTAGTCGTGTTAGTTACATACTCTTTTATCGGTTAAAACTTATTGAAATTTACAACATTACGACAAAGACTTGTTAAATAGGATTTGAGATATATCAAATTTTATGATTTTCAAAAACTTTCAGTCAATTGAAAGTAATATATTTTTAAAAAAAATGTGTCAGATACTGCCTTAAATTTCTCTATAATACATCCTAGAAAATCTGTTGGAAAAGGAAACTATTAATTTAAACAATTTGATTAAATGAATATGTACACAGTGTTTTGAAGAGGAAGATAAATTACCAAATCATTACTGCCGAAGGGATAGCAAAACGAAAGAACTCCCAAATTCCTTTGAACAGCTCCATGGAAATGGGTGCTCGAGTTTTTGCACATGCAGAAGAGTATCTCATGTATAATCCAAGAAAAATGACATTTAACCATATTGAAATGCTCACTGCCAATGCTCCACCAACATTATTCAGTCTTGTCTTGAATACCAAAGCCCAACAAAGAGGTACATGGATACAAAAAGTGATACAAGAACTTGCTAACATGGGAAGAAGCAAACTTTGAATTTGGAAATATCGAACTAATGGTTGTAGAATTGCGTATGCAAAAAGTGCTGGAAGTAGCCAAATTGTGAATTTCCCTGCTTCGTGGGAAATTAGAGGGTCTTGGCCAATGAAAATTAGTAATTTTTCCATGTTGATCCAAAGGAGAGACAGGGGAAGACAAACCAAAGTAAGAGAGAAAATGGCAGTGTATGTTTGCATTCCAATTTTTTCATATTGCTCAGCTCCATAAGCTTGTCCACAAGTTGTCTCCAATCCACTAGCCATTCCCATCTATTATTAGCATATGCAATTCATCAGTGCACAAAGTCACTCAGGAAGAAAATCTTGATAATTATAACGTCTTATAAATAATTGATGTAGAAGATAAACTAATTACTAAATGCAAGCAGTCTATTTTGATTACCTTATGCTATGAGTAAATCAACCTCACCAATAATATAATATCGCAGGTTTATTTCTCTTGAAGTTTTTACATCGATCAGTAATATAATTAATATAGAATATATAAATAAGAGATAATTTTCACACTTACATGTTGCTTTTATAATTTTGAGTTAGATATAAAATTTATATTCTCAAGATAATATTAAAATTTATTTTTAGAAATTTACAATTATTGTTGAGTTTATTATGTTACTTACTACAATTTTTTTAAATTGGTTGATAACATAACAAATTATTTTTATAAATTTTCTCAAATACTTGTATAAATATTAATGTAATAAAATAAGTTTAAATATCTTTTTTTTTTTAAATAGGTGTAACTGCTGAAAAGTTGAGTTACTTTATACATGTAATAAAATATGTAAAATCACAACTAGAAATACTATTTTATTTTATAGAAGTTGGCCTGGTGAAAAAAATCATACCACCTTAGGGTTATATATATATATATATATATCGTCTGGTCTTTTTAATAAGATGTTAATGCAATGGAAAACTTGGGGGCAGTGCCCATAAATGAAAGACCGTATTTTCCGGTGCTACTACAGTCTCACATGTGATGGTTTAGGGAGATGGTGTGTTTTTTTACGTTTAAAATCTCTAAAACTGGGTTTGACTTATGAATCGAGAAGAACGTATATAGAAATGTGTGTTATCATTAAAACAAATACACACTTATTACTCTCGAACAATCAAATCCTAGACTTCATTTAAAAAAACAAATAAATGTGAGAAAATTAATATTTTTTTGGTCAATTTATTTTTATTTTGTATCAGCATCCTAAGACTGTACCTTAAATTAACATAATACAAAGGAGTAATATCATATTTTTCTACATCATCTTTTTATAAATCTTCTTTTTATTTTATAAAAATCAAATGTATTTAATATTTATTTAAAAGAAACTAGGAAGATAGAGTATGAGGATTAATATTTCTAAGGCATTAAATATATTTATTTTTTTTATTTAAGGAGTATAGTTTTTATAAGATAAGAAGAAAACTTGCTAGAAAATCCGGAAATAGATCGGTATATATAACATGCTTGTTCCTCAGCATAAAAAGAGAGGTACACCTATAAAAATGAATTGTGAAATGAGTATTTCTTCTTATAACATGTGCATGTACGATGTATCTTATCTTTGTTGCAGGAAAATCATGTACCTTCGTCAAAGTGAAGTGCCCGTTAAAAAAAAAAAAAAAAAAAAAAAAAAGTCTTGTGATATTATCTCTCAATTGAATTGATCGTTGCATTGGGGTTTCACAATCACATCAACAAGTCAACGACGAGAAAAGTCTTGTTTTTTTTTTTTAAATTATTTCAGTTTGTCAAAAAAAAAAAATTATACGAATGAATATCAGAATTCAATAAGGCAAGTGGATGGTCTGAATTTAAATTTGAATATGAAAAAAAATGTGATTATAAAAGAAATATGGAAATATGAGGAGAAAATGAGGGAGAGTAGTAAGTAGAAGATCGCTTACAAGAAGACTGAAACCAGTGACCCCAGCAAGAGATATGGCTAAGGCGGCGCTAGAAAGATAGAGTTCACCAACATGACCAACTATCATAGTTGACACAACTTGCAACAAATATTGTGAAGCAACCACAGCCACCATAGGCCCTGCTATATGACAGATCCTTCTCATTTCTTCATTGTAAACACGCCATGTTACTCTCTCTTTTACATGTTTTTCTAGTAGGTTTTCTTCCATGCTTTTTTGTCCAGAAACTGTGTTGGACTTGAAGAGAGAGAGAGAGATCGAGAGAGAGCAAGAGATGTGGTGATAAGAACCAAGAGTTTTGGTGACCCTTCGGCCTTGCACTCATACTTATATACCATATTTTTTACACTTATTTTTTCCTTTTAGTTAGAATATACTATATATATACTATATGGTGCGTTCCGCGAGTGTCAATACAAAAACTATGTACATGTATGATGTACCAACTCTTTCAAATCACAGCTAAAGTAAAACACTGTTAAATAGTAACTTGTCCTTTTGAAAAATGAAACAACCTTACTTGCTCCTTAATTTAATCATTGTTTAGAAATTTATTTCAAGTTTCATCTTTCTCCTTTTCATGATTCTATTGCAATTTTGAAATATGTCCAAAAACTCGCGCAACAAAGTCTCTTAACTTTTGCTTTCGTCTAATCTCATTTTATATGGTGATTGATATCGGTAATGTGCAAAAATGGAAATGATGTTGGTGCCACGTTATTAAAGAATCACCTTCCAAACATATTCAATTACGGTATAATCAATTAATTAATGTTCATTTAATGTTAACATCAGTATACTATTTCTTTTTTTTTTCATAATTGTTATGACACTATTTTTTTTATTTTTTCATTATATTTTTTTAAAAATTAATGACTTATTAATTTTTTTATTTTTATTTTTGATAATTAATATGTGTTTATTGAACAATATATCTATTATTTTTAACGTACTTATTTCTTTTCCGACTACTAAAAAGTATTAAAAAAAATAAGTAATAAATAATTTAAAAAATTAAAATATCAATTATTTTCTTAATTCTCGTACATAACCTTAAAAAAATAATAATAAAAAAGTAATAGATTTGATTTCAAATGTAAAACCTGTAATATAAACTAAATACAATAAATATATATATATATATATATATATATAT